ATTGTAGTTCTACCCAAATATTTAAAAATTATCTATGATAGATAAATAAGTCACACTTAAAATATATATTTTTAAAGAAAGTTAGGTTCAAACCAAGTAAATTATAATAAAATATAGTATAACCTAATTTATTTTCATCTTTAATACTAATCGTAGATATAAAAAACTTGTAATAAATAATTATAATATATATTTATACCTTTAAAAGATATATAAAATTTTTAATACTACAAATATATATAAGAAATTAAAAATAATAAATTAAAAATAAGAAATTAAAAAAAGAAATTAAAAATAATAATTAAAAATAAGATTTCCGACGGATTTATAATTCCGTCAGAAATTTTCGACGGAAAAATAAATCCGTCAGAAATTTCCGACGGAATATTCCATCAGAAATTTTCTGTTTGAAATTTTTGACAGATTTATTTTTCCGTCAGAAATTTTCGACAGAATTTTCCGTCAAAAAGTTTCCATCGAAAATTTCCGACGGATTTATATTTCTGTCAGAAATTTCTGACAGAAAATTTCTGACAGAATATTCTGTCAGAAATTTCCAACGAAAATATAAATCTGTCGAAAATTTACATTTTTCTTGTAGTGTCTGTTTAATCCTTAGCCATGAGCGGTTAAGTATCCACTATTGGAAATTGACATATAGCTATTGTACTCATGTAAATTTCCTTTTCCTCATTCAATCAAATGTCTTTATTTGATTAATCATTTTTACTTTTCACCTAATGCATGCTTATTCTGACCTGATCAACCATTGCATTATTTTATAATTTTAACTGAGATTAAGAAACCTTTTAGAATTACGATATAGGTAAAATCTTAATAAGACTTATTACTAAGAATAGGATAAACCTTATTAGTTAATTTTTAGGTTATGACTTTAATGTGGGTTTTTAAAAAAATTTACCAAAGAATTGAGATTTTTTTTTAAACAACATAGAATTTTTTGCCTAAGAAATTAGGTGTGGAGAAAAGACATACACTAAAAGGGGGTTGAAGAGTTTGTATAAAAAAACTCACATGTTTATGCAATGAAAAAAAATAACTTATTGAATTCCACTAACTTTCAACAAAGTTACAAGCATTCTTTTACCAATCCACTTTGGCTCAATCCTAAGTAGTCTTTGACTTGCCTCTTTAAGCAACTACTCGAGTATTCTTTGAGCAACAAGCCTTTCCAAGCTTAATACCAAGTATTCTTTCAACTAAACCTCTCTAGGCTCAAAGATAAGTATTCTACTTTCAAACAACCCTCTCTAGGCTCAACATTAAGCTTTTTCACACAAGTCTCCCTAGGCTCAACCCTTACAACAAAGGTAATGGATGATTACTGTATTATTTTATCTTTTCTAGACGTGGTGTAATCAACAATATTGAAAACATGAGTAATCTATAAAGAAGTATATACAAGATTTATAATAAGTTTTTCTTTGCAGTTTTATGCTATGTATATTTCAATATGCTTCTTTATATGATTTTCTGATGTGTATTACTTCTCTATGTTTCTTCGTTGTTCATTGTCTTTATCTCTGTATCTCTTGTATGTTGTTTGAAGACTTGTTCCTTTCATATTAGCTTCAAAAAAGATCACAGTTACGACAATTTTGAGTTCAACTCATAATTTTCTTCATGAGTTATTTTTTCTGTCTTCTTTGTTGATTTTAAAGATTACCATTGTTGCATTTAATGCGAGAATTAAATGTCTTTCAGTAAGGTTTGTATCTCTTATCTAATCTAGTATAGGTTACTTATCATCATTTTCTTCTAAAATGGGTATGGTACTAGAAGTAATGTTAGCATAGAGCAATTGAAGTCAGCACATAGCAGTCTTTTGTAAAGCCTTTTTCTACTTTATTTGTGATATTCAAGATTTTCCTTGTTTCTTCTAACGAATAATTTGTCTTTTCCTCTAATGAATTTTGAGATTCCCAACATTTCTTTCTAGTTTGATTTGATAAGGAATAAAACATTAAATGAAATTTAATGTTAGTCTCACTTAGAAGTATATGTTTAATGCATAAAGAGACAAACTGCATGCTTCATCTGGTTTTCTTCATCTTACAGACGATATATATTTTTCACATCTCGTCTAATATAGAATATCTTTGTAGATATTTAATTTTGCTTCAAAGAAAATCTTTCGTTTCTTATTATTAAAACTTGAGGGATCTATGATCATCTTTTGACTTAACATTGGGGTTTAAATATATTTGATGGTTATTGAATTAATTATAAAATATTTTAAGTTTAGTGTCGGAAAAGTCGATACTATTTCTTTAGATAAAGGGTCGGCTTTTCCAACACTAATTTAATTTAAATTGAAATTAAATTAGTGTTGGAAAAAATGACACTATATTTAAAGAATAGCTTTGGCTTTCCCACACTAAACTTAATTTAAATTTAGTGTCAAAAAAGCCAACGCTACATCTTAAAATAACATCAATTTTTCTGACAGTATACGTGCTTTGAGAGGGATAAAGATAATTTTTTCAATATTATATACGCATAATGTGTTCTAGTGCACTTGGTTATCAAGTTCATTTAAGACCTCGAGCTTTACACATCAAGTTCTCAGAATGTTAAAAATACGAACGAATGTTAAAAATACAAACGAATAAATGATAAGCTGGAAAAAGAAGACAAAGAAAAAATAAAATAAATTTTGTGTTGACATAGTGTCGGCTTAACCAATAATAAAAAATTAAAATTAATAAATTTATTATCGATAGCTTAGTCGACACAAAAAAAAATTGTGTCTACTTATTTAGCATCAGCCAAAAATTGATGAATAAGCAACAATATTACGTCAGTTTTTATGATTTAAAGTCGGCTTTTGGCCGACTCTAAACTGCAACATTTTTGTAGTAGTGTAATACCAAAAGAGGTTGGATATTTGTTTGTATTTATTTCTTTGAATTTATCAAGAAACAACATGAATTGAGAAAGTTCTTTTGAGAAATTTGCTAGAATTTATTGATTACTTGTGGAGATGTTGTTTTGTAGGATAAATAGGGAGAGAAAAATGGGTAAATAGAGAATAAAATCATAGACTTGAGCAAGTTTGGAAGAAAGAAGATAAAAATGGGACAACCTTAAATTCACTCAAGCATTGGAACAAAAGCTTGACCCCATTAAGTTGAGGCACAAAATCAATTGTTTTTTTCACAAAATTTAGCTCAAGCAAAATCTCAATGTTCAAGCATTTAAACAAAAAGCTCAAGCAAATTTTCAATGCTTGAGCAAAAATTAGTTTCTTTACCTTGAA